CTGGCAGAAACGTCACAGGGAAGAAGCCCAATGAGAGTAGTTCCATGACCATATTTACTTTCAAAACCTAGCTTGTTCTGTGGATTCACTAAAGCAGCTTTAAGTGGAGTTTTCCTCTCCACTGTCACCGCATGCTTGCCTAGTATGGGGATTGCTGTAAATCAAGGGTATTCAATTCCAGCCCTGGAGGGTCGGTATCCAGCACATTTTAGTCGTTTCTCTGCTTGAATACCCTTGATTTAGTGGCTGACTCACCTGTGCTGAAGCCATTTAATTACCTGCTGCCCACCACCAGGTGTGTTGGAGCAGAGGTAAAGCTAAAATGAGCTGGATACTGGCCCTCCAGGACCAGAATTGAATAGCCCTGTTGTGAAGTCTCTGACACAACAAGTCGGTGACTTGATGCAAGCTGTAGGTTTTGTTCCACAGGAAAATTAACTAAGTGCATAATGAACTGAACCCGATGGACTGATAAGAGTACAGTGCTGCCCATAAGTATTCACCCTCGGCTAATTCTGACTCAACTAGCAAGTTATTGTTTGACGGGAAATGACTTGGGCGTCTCCAAAAGATCATAGGCGATGAACAAGAGGCATTATGGTGCCCGAAGACTCTCAGCTTTTATTTACATTTCAGCAAAAGGTGTCATGTCCAAGATCATCAATTCCCTTCAAAAACTGTCAGTTTCTGGGAAAATCCAAAGTCCTAAACCATTCCAGATAGTCCAAGCTGTTCTCCAGCACCTCCATTACCCAGATTAACTGGGAACAGCCGTTTTAATCAACCCAGCAGGTGAAAAACAGCTGACTGCACAGCACGGGTTACTTTGTGAAGCAGTCTCAGATAGGTTCTGGTACTGGACCCAACCAGGAGAGCTCTAATAACCCTTTGTGTCCGAATCATGAGAAACAAACATGATCCAAGATCTGGTTTCATCTGTCAGAGCCTGATAAGAAGCAAGCAGAAGCATCCTCACCTTTTTCTTTAGGGAAAATCCTCCTTTGTCTCTGAAGTTTAGACGGTCGCTCGATGACCGGATTCATGAAGGTCACCTGGAAACCAAATGGAGCATCATCACGTCACCAGCTCAGTGGCCAGGTGGTATGAGAACCCTGTCGGGTCATGCCAAAGACTTTAAAAATGGGACCCAGTGTCTCCCTGCTGACATCCAGCTTTAAGGGGGTTGGATTGGGGGGTTAACCCACCGAATAGTTCCCAAGCGTAACCACACCTGCAGCTCACCGCTCAGTAAAACTGTGAGATGATGACTAATAGGACCTGGAGTTGAACTTGTTAGGGTTAAACCAGCGACTCCTTCGTGGGGGCCTGCTGCACCAGGAGCAGTCGTTGGCTGTGTTGGCTTGGGTGCTCTCCTGCCATCTCTTGGTGCCCAGCTGCTACTGATCCCGATGCAGCTGCTGCTGATCCCGGTGCAGCTGCTGCTGATCCCGGTGCAGCTGCTGCTGATCCCGGTGCAGCTGCTGCTGATCCCGGTGCAGCTGCTGCTGATCCCGGTGCAGCTGCTGCTGATCCCGGTGCAGCTGCTGCTGATCCCGGTGCAGCTAGCTTCTTCTTTGCTGCCTGACTCATCTGTACTCAGCCAGTTTTCATAATAGCTTTTAAGTACAAGAAGGGATTTAGGATTTGAATTTGTGGGAGCTGGGTGGGAATTTGAGTGTTGTGTGGTTGTTTTTAATCTTGTACAGCACTTTGAGATATGAAAAGAGCCTGATGAATAAAGCTCGATTTGATTTGATGAGCTGCTATATGAGAGTATTTTCGAGTAAATACGGAAACAAACCTCGATGAAGAGGATGCCCTGAGGCTCCAGTTCCAAACACATCCCATGTCTCTGGTTATCCAGGAAGTCCTCCAAACGCAGGAACTTCACCCCACAGAGAGCTCGCCAGTCTCTCCAAGAAACCGCTACCTCCAGCTCCCTGGACTGCAGAAACACACAGATTACTGATTTAGCTTTTCATCTGCTCCTTGTTTTAATCCACAACTGATTTATCTCCCCTGCAGGTCGGTTTGTTCGGTGCGTTAGGGACTCTACTGTCAACCACAGACATTACACAGTAGGAGCATGCTGTCTGTATTCTGTGTCAGATCAGCAGTTAAGGAAGATGTGAGCCCTTCCAAGGAGACATTTATAACAGCCCCGTGTTTTATACTAAACGTGTTTTTGGAGTTCTTTACATAAAATCCCTCTCACATGCATACATATATATATATATACATACATATATTTACTCACTCACACTGTTTAAAGTGTGGACGAAGTTTCTGATGCCACCTGAGATTGGAATATGGTTGGACAACGAAAGGAATTCTGTTTGAATCTCCTCAATCCCACAGACTCATATTCCAGTGAGGAACTTGAGTCAGACCAAGGAGAACCTGGTGGAACCAGTTAATGACCCCAGAGATTACCAGCAGGTTCTAACCAGAGAATGAGCCTAAGTCAGCGCCTGTCTGAGGGATTACCGCGGACCATCCTGACATTACAGAAAACTCCACATCAACAGACCGTTTCCAACAAAAAAACAAAACACCAACCCGTTCCAGCTCAATGCTGAAGTTCTGGCCCCAGGCCTCCTTCCCCATCTGTCGCCAGTGAGTCTGTCCAACAATCTGATTGTCTAGCTTCAGCATGGCGCTGACCTCTCCTGAAAAAAAGCATAATACATTTCATTTGTGTGCGCCTTTCAGGACTCTCAAGGGAACTTTAACAGAAATGATATAATACAGGTTAAAACACTCTTTGTTAATTTTAAAATACAAATCAACAGTTAAACAGACACAAGTTAAAAGGGAAAATAGTAAAAAGTTAAATACTAAACGAACAATTCAAGTTAAAATCATCAACAGATAAGTCACATATTGATCATTATCATAAATATATACATGCACATTGCTTAAAATCTGCATAACAGTAGGAAGTGCATAGTCAACCAAATGTTTGCAGTTACACAGGTATACGAGAAAAGCTGCCTGAATCAATGAGTTTCAGGAGTGATTTAAACTGGGTGACAGAAGAGAGCGTACGGACGTCTGACCCTAACCCTACTGTTCCATGACCACGAGCCCGCGACCTAAAGACCTGAGGCCCATACAGCATAGACGCACTCGAGGTATAACAAGCAGATTACTGGAAGGTGAGCGACGTTTTCCTGGTGGTGTGTACAGACCGAGTAGATCCCGTACATAACCGGGGGCCATGTTTTAAATGTCAAAAGTAATATTTTGAATTCAGTGCAGTAACTTACTGGGAGCCACTGAAGCTCCTCAAGTATAGGAGCGATATGTTGAGAGGAGGGCGTCCGAGTAATGGTACCAGCTGCCGCATTACGTACCAACTGTAGTTTGTGAAGAAGTTTCTGTGGTAGACCAGCGAGTAAGGCATTACAGTAGTCCAGACGAGATGTAACCTGGGGCCTCATTCATCAAGCTTGCTTACGTACAAAACGGGGTCGGAAAACTGTGTAAGCTACTTTCCACCCAAACTTTGGGATTTATGAAAGAAAACTTGGCGGAAAAATGTGAACAACTTTAAGTTGACTAAGGACCTGGCTTACACACATGTTGGACATGGAGAGCACCTGCAGTGCTGCTGCTGAGAAGGATAACATTATGAAATCCTGCAGCATTATCCCTTGTACTGCTTCGTTTTCACACAGAACAAGACCCCCCACATGCACACACACACACACACATCCTGAAGCGCAGAATACGGAATGCAGAATATCAGCAGGGGGACAGATTGAGACAGAACATCATGCGTCTGTGACAGTGTGTGTGTGTCCTGTCACTGTGACCTGATTGATCATGTGCCCTGGCTACTTGGACTGGGGAGATCTCCGTTTGGGTGACTGGTTAGCGCACGTGCGACTCACCCAGGAATCTGGGGATTGGATCCTGATTGGACCATTTTTTTTTACATCCACCACACATCTCTCTGAAGAAGTCAGCATTGACGGCTTCAGCAACGCTGTGCCACTCCGTGGATTTTCTCTTATTTGTGTTGCAAAGGCACTTCCTTTCATTTCTCCACCTCACCCACAGGTACCTCAACTTCTGCTTGTGTGAAATTGCGCTTCCTTGATCTGCCTTGATCTACGGTCGCCATGTCATTGGTGGAGCACTGCAACAGCCGGCTTATGTATATGCATGAGATCCACAAGGCACTTAGCATCGACCATTTATGGCAGTAAGTGGGCGTGGTGAGGGCGGGATGTGACTAAAAAGCAGCTGAGAAACATTCTCGTTAGTCTCTGATTTATGAAGCGGAGATTGCGTGCAGCTGTGCGTACTCCATGTTTGATACATCACAAACCTACTTGGCGTTAGTACTTTTTTTTTTGTTGCTGAGCTTAAGTACGGTTTTAGTAAGGATTCTACGCCATGTTTGATAAATGAGACCCCCGGGCATTTACAAGTCTTCGTGTCATTTATAGTCAAGGATGAACATAATCAATTAAGGTTGCGCAACTGAAAGTACGCAGACCTAACCAATCCACTTACATGTGCATTAAATGAGAGAGTGTTATCTAAGGAGACATCCAAACTTTTAACCGGAGCGGACAATAAAATAGGAGTATTATCAATATTGAGTGATAAGTTGTGAGATCTGACAGTTTTGATTTAGTTCTATGATGAGGAGTTCTGTTTTATTACCAATAGGTTTCAAGAGATTATAGACATATTTTTAGTTTTTCCGCGAGGTATTCTTCAGGCTTCACTGTGTCTGCCACTAGATATGCTCGGTTGTCTTTTTGAGGGCGCAATGGCGGCACTGTAGACGTCTTAACCAATCACAAGCTTGCATTCTTCGTCTCGACGGACAGATGTTTAGAAAAGAGAGCTCGACTCCGTCCATCCTTGCGAGCTTGTCGGACTGCTCTCAAAAGGACGGATAATGGTGTTGTGCGCGTCCGTCCCGACGCAGACGAAGTATTAATTAGGCTTTATAATGAGGAGTTCTACTTTTACTGCAGAGGGGATGAACGACCTACGGTAGCGTTCTGTTTTACATCTGGGATGTCTCAGTCTGCCTCTGAAGGAGCTGTCCATGGTCTCCACAGTGGAATGCAGTAGGTGGGAGGGTTTTTTCAAGATGGTGCTCATCTTTCCCAGCATCCACCAGTGGGCAGCTTAGAACCGAGCTAGCTTTGTGAACTAGCTTGTTCAGTCTCTTCCTTTCTCAGTCAGAGCTGCCTGCACCCCAACAGACCACAGCAGAGTGGATAGCAGAGCCGACCACAGAGTGATAAAAGGATTTTAGCAGATAGGAATTAACTCTAAAGGACCTCAGCCTCCTCAGGAGTTAGAGGCGGCTTTGGTGTCGTGCTGAGGGGGGGGGGGTCGGTGGAGGGGGGAGAGGCTGATGTATGGCGTGAAATTTGGAGGTGGGAGATGGTTGGGGGTGGTGGTGTTGGTGGTACCTGTTGCAGCTGCAGATATATACATAGATAGACATACACTCACCTAAAGTATTATTAGGAACACCGTACTAATACGGTGCTTGACCCCCTTTCGCCTTCAGAACTGCCTTAAAGTGGCTTTCCGGAATTTTCTACTGTCAGAAATGATGTACGGTTTTTCAGAAATCCGTAAAAGTGATGATCTCATCATGTGCTGTGATATAATATAAGCAATACGTCTTTTTGTTTTTTTGCTAAGCACGCCCCCTGCCCCGCAGAGCTCCGTGCAATAGGAAACTGAGCGCCATCCAAAACTAACCAATAGCATTAGACTACCACTTACCTGCTTCAAATGTAAGGAATACCTCGGCTGATGCAGAGTTGATGAACTTTTCACAGACAAGTTTCAATTCAGTTTATTTATAAAGCGCCAAATCAGATTAAGAGTCGTCTCAAGGACCTTCACACAGTAAACAACACAGGTCAGGTCATTAAGCCCATCAGTAACAAGTTTCCTATATAAGGAACCCAGCAGGTTGCATCGAGTCACTGACTAGTGTCAGAGTCTTTACAGCAATCCTCATGCTAAGCAAGCATGCAGCGACAGTGGAGAGGAAAACTCCCGTTTAACAGGAAGAAACCTCCAGAGGATCCTGGCACGCACACTCACACACACTCTCACACACTCTCACACACTCACACTCTCACACTCTCACACACTCACACTCTCACACACTCACACTCTCACACACTCACTCACACTCTCACACACTCTCACACACTCACTCACACTCTCACACACTCACTCACACTCTCACACACTCACTCACACTCTCACACACTCTCACACACTCACTCACACTCTCACACACTCACTCACTCTCTCACACACTCACACTCTCACACTCTCACACACTCACACTCTCACACACTCACACACACTCTCACACACTCACTCACACTCACACACACACTCACACACACACTCACACACACACTCACACACACACACACACACACACACACACACACACACACACACACACACACACACACACACACACACACACACACACACACACACACACACACACACACACACACACACACACACACACACACACACGTGACTAACCCGACAGCTCGTCTGCTCTGCTGGTTTTGCCATTTGAACTTCTTCCAGAGGATTTCAGCTTCAGAGATTTTCCATCAGAAGTCCCAGAGGAGGACAAGGCGCTGCTGACACGACTTCGACCCGGTACGGACTCCAGCAGGTTCTGACAGCCCATCAGACAAACCTCTAACCGACCTGAGGAGGAACATAAGTGTCAGATGTAAAAACCCAAAGAACGCTAACCAGAAAGTCCAGATCCAGACCTGTGAGGCTGGCTGGTCTGAAGAAGGAGGACGAGCACTGCTTCTTTGGTGTGTTGTAGGACGGGCAGAATCCAGAAACCAGAACCTCCTTGATGGTGGACCTGGTGGGATGGTCCTCGGGAAACTCTGTCAGACGTCTCTCCAGAGAGAGACGCAGCAAGTCCAGCTTCTGAGAGGACTCTTGCATCCGGGCCTGGGCCTGGAGGACCATAACAGGATTCTGATGGCTTCTGGGTTCGGTTTAGATTTAGATCACAGAATAAACATGTCTAACCGGGTCAGACCAGAACCTTCTCACCAAATGGTTTAGTTCAACAGTCGTTCTGAGACACCAAACCAGGTGTGTGGCTCTGAAACCCACCTGTGCAAGAACCCGGCGCTCCTGGACCCGCCTCTCGCTCAGCTGCTTCACCACGTTCTTGGCTCCATCGGCTACAGCCGACTCGATCTTCATGTGATGAATGAGTTCAGCAACTCGTAGCTCCAGAGGGTTGATGACGTCCACAGGGAGCCCTGCAGACCAGAGACCTGTCACAGAACGTGTGCTGGAACAGGTGGGTCAGAAGGAGCGACTGGATTTACCGGCTGATCCGACTCCGTCCCGGGCCAGACCGACTTTGATGATCTGCATTCGCAGCAGCTCGATCTTGGTACGACTGTCCTGGAACATCTGCTGCGCCGCCGCCAGCATCTTCCGGTCCTAGAACAAGAGGAGACCCCAAAGATCAGTCGTGAGTCATGCAGATGATTTCATGATCTCCACCCACTAAACTAAAACAGGTGCAAATCTAACCGATGTTCTAGTCACAGCAAACTACGAGAGGTAACTGTTGTGCGGGCGTTAGCTAACACCGACACATTTACAGAAGTGTTCATTAATGTCTACTGACCCTGTTAAATAATTAATAATTACATTTATGACAATACAAAAGATAAAATGACTTTCTGTGCATCTTTGCTGAAAAGAAGACCAGACACCAGCGAGGGAGGAAAAGACAGACGCAACAGCCTTGTCATCCCCTATGTAGCCGGTGTATCAGAGAAACTCAGGAGGGTTTTCTCCAAACACAACATACCAGTGTACTTCAGGCCCAGCAACACACTCAGACAGAAACTGGTTCACCCGAAAGACAAAACTCCTAAACACAAACTGAACAATGTGGTGTATGCTGTACAGTGCAGCGAGGAATGCCCAGACCTCTACATCGGAGAAACCAAACAGCCACTTCACAAGCGCATGGCACAACATAGAAGAGCCACCTCCATGGGACAGGACTCAGCAGTTAATTTGCATCTAAAGGACAAAGGTCACTCTTTCGAGGATGCTAACGTTCACATTTTGGACAGAGAGGACAGATGGTTTGAAAGAGGAGTAAAGGAAGCCATTTATGTCCACTGTGAGCAACCATCTTTGAACAGAGGCGGTGGTTTATGATACCGACTGTCTGCCATCTATAATCCAGTTTTGAGATCCCTTCCCAGATGCCTCAACGCCCACGCATATCCTGGGCCATCTGACCTCAGGAATTCACATGATAGGGTGGGGCCAGGCTTCACAATGAGCTCACCCGAAACTCTGGCTGAATAGGACCCACACCCACCCTCAATGTGTTTATGTAGAAGATCATCAGGGGGTCTTTTGTTCCCTCTTCGAGGGGAAACTCCCACTGGGTTTAAATCTGGGATTCTCCACCATTTGACCTTAGAACTGAAGAAGCCTCTCGGATGACAGGTGAAACGTCTTCAAGAAGTCCAGACGCTTTTCTTTCAAAGCTCATTAGACTACATGGCCTGTATTTGACATAGCGCCTTCTAGAGTCCTGGAACCCCCCAAGGCGCTTTACAACACAGTCAGTCATTCATCCATTCACAAACACACATTCACACACTGGTGGGGATGAGCTACGATGTAGCCACAGCTGCCCTGGGGCGGACTGACAGAGGTGAGGCTGCCGAGCACAGACGCCACCGGTCCCTCTGACCACCACCAGCAGCCAAAGTGTATCAAATGTCTTGCCCAAGGACACAACAACAGCGACAGACTGAGCGGAGCTCGAACCTGCAACCTTCCGATTACGGGGCGAGCGCTTAGCTCCTGTGCCACCGTCGCCCCCATTAACGGATGCCTGCTTTCCACTGGATGCATGAGAAGCTCGTAACATAATGAATGCGTTTTGCCCACAAGCTCCCTTCCAGCAGGAGCGTTTCAGAGGTGAAACAGCAGCAAAAGCATTGCGTACTGCGGATCCCACAAGGTCACAAAAGACCAGAGAATTATAGCACCACGGGCGATTTCGGCAGCATTTGTCCAGAAAGGTCAGGTTTATTTTGAATTCAGTTTACCTCGGCCACAGAGGTGTCACAGTAATGGTCGGTCTGGTTTTTACTAGTTAAGCAAACCATCTCAGGGAAGCTCAACTGCATGCTCGTCAGTTTAGGTAAAACTTTTAATAAAGTTTTAACCAGGTGTTTTATATGGTTGATAAGTTGTCTTTTAACCGCTAACCTTATAGTGAAATTTTCGTTTTGCATCATCTTAATAATGCTCTCCATCTGTTTGCACTTGTTTTTAGAACCTTTTATAACAATTAAACCCATTTTAACTCCACTGTCGCATTTCTTATGTTACCCCCTCCTTCACGTTTTAACACCTCCTGTCGGGGACGTAACAGTGTTATGGTGCAACGTAAACATCTGCCTGAAACGGTTATCCCCATGATGTATACATGTGTGAAAGATGACATCCTTATGAAAACATAACATGTGAGACCTGGACATCACTGCCAACGCAGTCGTCCGTGACCGTGACTTCTCACTACATCGACGAGTGGTGCCTAATGTCTCGTGCTACAGACCACCGAGGTTATCACCAGCCACACTGCTAGTGGTTTAGCTGATATGGGCCATGCAGGAATGGGGGCTGACCAACAAAGACCCAGTAGTCGTGACGGCCAACGCGGGAAATATGGTTCGTGCCATGGAAACAACGCAGCTAATGCACATAGGTTGCTTTGCGCAGACACTGAACTCAAGCAGGTCTAGAAACCTCAGCCGCGTCACATCTGCTTGCTCAAGTTAGGCGTTAAACAAGGCTTTTTTCCCCGGAGTACGACGGCAAACCACATACTTAAAGAAAAACAGAAGCTGCGTCAACTGCCAGCCCACAAGCTAACAGTAGGAGATTTGACGAGGTGGAACAGTGCTCTGGACATGCTGGAGCGCTTCTTGGAGCAACAGCCACTCTCCTTTCACAAGATGTGCGCAGGAATGAAAAAGATCTGCGCACCTTAGCAGAGGAGGACGTAACGATTGCTGAAGATTTGGAGCAGGTCATGAAACCAATGAAGGAAGCTACACTCGCAATGTCAGCAGACAAGCAACCAACTCCGTCATTGCACCACTTCTCGCGCTGCTGCGGGGGGCTGTCACCAGCCTCGAAGGCTCCGCTGGTGACGCACCTAAAGGCTGCCGTAAAGAATAACTTAAGAACAAGGTATGCCAAGGTCTTTGTGTGTGTCTGTCTATCCAATAATAATTTAGGCTAAATCAAATCATTACAAAAGCAAAGCCTAATGTTGCGTTTTATGCTCATTTCCTTCTCATTTTACAGATTAGTTGTAGCTGTTATTCATTTATAATCCATGCAGTGTGCTGTTTACTTATATGATATTGTATATTAGTAGGCACGCCATGTTTTCTCCTGCTAACAAAAATAATTTGTTAAATGTCTTTAAGATGTGATACGCAGAAGGACACATTCTCAGTGCTGGATCCTCGCTTTAAGGCCCGACCATTCCTGTCAGCTGAAGAGCGAGATCCTCCAGACTGAGGCTGCCACTGCAAGTGAGGTCAGGGTTTAGGAAAAAAGATTGTTTTCACTGAGAATTATAAGATTCTCTGTTGGATCATAAGGAATGTTATAGATTTTAAGAGATTATGTATAATTTTTTTATAATCTATAATATATTCAGGTGTGTGAATTAGTATAGTATATAGTATCTACTGTTGGCTCGCCTTGCGAAGCACTATCTTTGTGTCCCAGGGACCAGTAATGCGTCGGAGAAAGTGTTTTCAACCGCGGGTGATATCGTCACTGCTAAAAGGAGCTGCCTATCTCCAGATCATGGAAATGATCCAGCACAAGAATCTGAGTTAGTGAGAAGAGACGGAGACTTAACCTAATGCTTATTAAACTGTAAACAAAACTGTTAACTAATGGGAACAGTTTACAAGTTTGCACTTTAAACCTGTTCTTCATGGTGAATAGAAAAATAAAGTATATTTATATTTACCCACTACCCCATTGAGACAGTGTCCTGCCCACGGCCAAAATCACACAGATCAGGCGTAAAATGATCCGCCCACAACTCAGCAGTGACACAACAGCTTTCAGGCATCTCTAAATCTTAATATTTGGCAAAAATCTACTGGATTCTACATATATTCTACTGGATTTTAAAGATATTCTTAAATGTATTGATTAAGAGACTCAAATTGAAGTTTATTAAGATCGTGCCTTAACTCTGGGGAAGACGAATTGTTTGGCTGGCAGTTGTTGCCCATGTGGTTAGGCCTTGGGGCCTACCAAGACTGCAACAAACAGATCTGTCCATTGTAAAACAAATCTATTATCGTCATCATCATCGCTGACTTCAGGACAGGCTCCAGCCAGCAGGCCTCATCTGTGCTCCAGACGAGCTGGTTCCCAAAGTCAGAGACTCTCTTGGTCAGCTTGCTTCTCACACCAAACCTTCCGTCAGGAATCTTGGCGTGACCTTTGACCCAGCTCTCACCCTGGATTCTCATGTCAGTTCTCTTGATCGCTCTTCCTTCTTCCATCTCAGGAACGTTGCTAAGCTGAGTCCCATTCTGTCCCGCTCTGAACTTGAGACAGTTCTCCACACCTTCATCTCCTCACGCTTAGACTACTGTAACTCTCTTTTCACGTGTCTGAGCAGAACCTCCCTGAACCGTCTACAGGTGGTTCAGAACGCCTGTGCTCGGCTTCTGACCAAGTCCTCCAAACACACCCACATCACCCCGCTTCTCCTCCAGCTTCACTGGCTGCCAGTCAACTTCAGGGTTCATTTCAAGATCCTGGTTCTGGTCTACAGGGCCTTACATGGACAGGCACCATCTTACATTGGTGATCTTCTTAGTCCCTACACCCCCAGCAGGTCCCTGAGGTCCAGTGATCAAAGCCTACTGGTTGTGCAGCACCAGGCTAAAGGTCAAAGGTGACAGATCATTTGCTGCTGTGGCCCCCAGACTCTGGACCTCTCTCCCCCTGAGCCTGAGATCAGTGGACTCAGTGGTCTCCTTTAAAAAGCAGCTGAAGACTCACTTGTTCAAGATGGCTTTTGTATGACCTTCTTCACCTCTCTCTCTTTATTCTGCTCTCCCCACCTATTCCACCTTCCTCAGGATCCACTGATTTCCCTCTTTCCTGTTCACTCTCTCTCTTTCTTAACATTTTTTAATCACAATTGTCTATTTTTTGCTCATTTTAAGTATATTTTTAACCATTTTCTAAATTCTTTTTTATATTTTTAAATTTTTTGCTTTTGTGAAGCGCCTCGTGATTTTTATCTTGAGAGGCGCTACAGAAATGATATTTTCTTCTTCTTTTTCTTCTTCTCAGGCCACAGCCACTGGAACTGCCGCATCACCAGCTACCTGAACCCTCCATCAGGCTCAGCC